CTTAAACAGACCCATAACATATAAGGAAATTGAAACCGTAATACAAAGCCTCCCAACTAAAAAACACCCAGGCCCTGATGGACTTACAGCAGAATTCTACCAAACGTTTAAAGAAGACCTCCAACCAATACTACTTAAATTATTTAAGACAATAGAAATAGAGGGAGAACTCCCAAATTCCTTCTATGAAGCCAGCATCACTCTAATACCCAAATTGGCTAAAGACACAAAGAAAAAAGTATACTACAGACCCATATCCTTAATGAACATAGATGTAAAAATTCTCAAAAAGATACTTGCAAACCACATACAGACACACATCAAAAAGATCATCCACCATGATCAAGTTGGCTTTATCCCAGAGATGCAGGGATGGCTCAATATACGTAAGTCAATAAACATCATAAACCATATAAATGGACTCTAAGACAAGAACCACATGGTCAACTCAATAGATGCAGAGAAGGCCTTTGACAAAATTCAACATGCATTTATGTTCAAAGACCTAGAGGGAACATACCTCAACATAATTAAAGCCATACATAACAAACACGCAGCCAACATCATTAGAAATGGAGAAAAACAGGAAGCATTCCCATTGAAATCAGGAACCAGACAAGGCTGTCCACTATCTCCACTCCTTTTTAACATAGTACTTGAAACTCCTGTAAGAGCAGTAAGACAAGAGAGTGATAAGAAAAGAGAAGGAAATTAAAGGAGTAATAACTGGAAAAGAAGAAATCAAATTATCACTTTTTGCCTATGGTATGATATTATATCTAAGGGATGCCAAAAGTTCCACCAGAAAACTCATAGAAATGATTAACACTTTCAGTAAAATGGTAGATTATAAAATTAATCTACAAAGGTCTGTAGCCTTCTATATACCAATAACAAGCAATGAGAGAAAGAGCACATGGAAACACTCCCTTTCACAATAGCTGCAGAACAAAATCTTGGAATAAACCTGACCAAAGACATTAAAGACCTCGACAATTTTTTAAGTCTTTAAAGAAACAAATTGAGGAAGACATCAGAAGATGGAAGGACTTCCCATGCTCATGGATTAGAAGAATTAATACTGTGAAAATGACCATCCTACCAAAAGTCATATATAGATT